GTGCCTTGTGGAATAGAACTTTCCACTGTAGCTGCCTCAGACTTCACTGTGTTTATTACTACTCTTTGTAACAAAAAGAGGCACAATACCGTGACTGGAACGATACACAAATAAGTCGCACATAGAAGAGAGGAGCTTACGACGACGTTTCGGTCCGACTTGGACCATTTACAAAGTCACACTAACCAGAAGTAGAGCAGGACGGGTATTTATAGGCAGGAAGTGCTAGTAATAGTAGTAGTAGTAGTAGTAGTAGTAGTAGTAGTAGTAGTAGTAGTAGTAGTAGTAGTAGTAGCAGTAGTAGCGGTGGTAGTAGAGGTCCTGCTCTACTTCTCATTAGTGTGATTTTGTAAATGGTCCAAGTCGGACCGAAACGTCGTCGTAAGCTCCTCTCTTCTATGTGCTGGTTATTTGTGTACCACTCTTTGTGTTCTGTTCGTTAGGAAATCATAGATCCATCTACCAACTTTACCTGTTATCCTTTTATCACGAATTTTATGTGCAATTACACCACTGTCACACTTGTCGAAGGCTTTCGCAAAGTCTGTGTATACTACATCTGCATTTTGTTTGTCTTCTACAGCATCCAGGACCTTGTCATAGTGGTCCAGTAGCTGGTACAGGCAGGAACGACCTGCTCTAAACCCGTGTTGCCTTGGGTTGTGTAACTGATGGGTATCTAGATGAGTGACGATCTTGCTTCTTAGAACCCTTTCAAAGATTTTTATGTAAAGTAAAAGGACACAAGTGCAACTAATGTGACATTTTTATTGTGGCAACGTTTTGCTCTCCATGAGCTTTGTCAAAGCTTCTGGAGAGCGAAACGTTGCACAATAAAAAATGTTACATTAGTTGCACTTGTGTCCTTTTACTTTACATATTGTCGGTAATTCTACCAACTTTATTACAAAGATTTTTATGAAATGGGATGTTAGCACTACCGTTCTGTAGCTCTTTGCTGTTGCTTTACTGCCACTGTTGTGGAGTGGGGCTATGTCTGTTGTTTTTAGTAACTGTGGGACGACCCCCGTGTCCATGCTCCCTATCCATAGGATGGAAAAGGCTCGTGATAGGGGCTTCTTGCAGTTCTTGATGAACACGGAGTTCCAAGAGTCTGGGTCTGGGGCAGAGTGCATGGGCATGTCATTTATCACCTTTTCGGAGTCATGTGATGTTAGGATAACATCTTCCAAATTCTTAACTTTGGTTATAAAAATTCATTTAGGTCTTCGAGCCCAATTTGCACATATTGGCTCGTATAGAGCCCAATTTGCCCATTTTGGCTCGTATAGAGCCCAATTTGCAAATTTTGGCTCGTATAGAGCCTAATTTGCACATTTTGGTTCGCATAGAGCCCAATTTGCACATTTTGGTTAGTATAGAGCCCAATTTGTACATATTCAAGGAAGAAACTGGGAAAATTAAAATACTGCCTTGAATGCACTAATTTCTGAGTACCTCGCCTGACTGGCCTTATCATTCAACTCTGATAATATGTTAATATAAATTGTAAGCAGTTTAAACTTAATGTTCTCGCGTGTTATGCAATTATCGTCCCTCTGAGGCAGAATTCCTCTACAATTTCGCTTCAAAGTTGCCATTTTTAATTGAGAAGTTTGAATTAGTTTTTTGTTGTTTTTTTCCTAAGTTACCATTTTTATTTAACAATTTCTGGTTGTAGTGTCCATGTGATAACTTGTTGTAGTGTCCATGTGATAACTTGTAGTGTCCATGTGATAACTTGTTGTAGTGTCCATGTGATAGCTTGCTGTAGTATCCATGTGATAACTTGATAAATTAGACACATGTGCAACTCTTGGGAATCTTTATTGAGGAAACGTTTCGCCACACAGTGGCTTCATCAGTCCATACAAAGGAGAATCTTGAAGAACAGGAGGAGAATGAGGTAATCAGTCCCTCAACCTTGAGTCGATGTGGTCAGTCCATCAATCGCCACTGTGTGGCAAAACGTTTCCTCAATAAAGATACCCAAGAGTTGCACATGTGTCTAATTTATCAACATGTCGGTTCTCTGAACCATTCATCTACAAACATGTGATAACTTGTTGTAGTGTCCATGTGATAGCTTGTTGTAGTGTCCATGTGATAACTTGTTGCAGTGTCCATGTGATAGATTGTTGCAGTGTCCATGTGATAGCTTGTTGTAGTGTCCATGTGATAACTTGTTGTAGTGTCCATGTGATAGCTTGTTGCAGTGTCCATGTGATAACTTGTAGTGTCCATGTGATAGCTTGTTGTAGTGTCTATGTGATAGCTTGTTGAAGTGTCCATGTGATAACTTGTTGTAGTGTCCATGTGATAACTTGTAGTGTCCATGTGATAGCTTGTTGTAGTGTCCATATGATAACTTGTTGTAGTGTCCATGTGATAACTTGTAGTGTTCATGTGATAGCTTGTTGTAGTGTCCATGTGATAGCTTGTTGTAGTGTCCATGTGATAGCTTGTTGTAGTGTCCATGTGATAGCTTGTTGTAGTGTCC